AATATGTTTCAATTTGATAAACACATCGCAACCATGACCATGTAATGATACCAATTTCATTGATCCACCAAAATAATTTGCATAAATTCTAGCTAATGGAAGCCTATTATTGACGATTTAATACAAAAGAAAACAATAAAAAAAAAATATATTAAAAATATAGTTTATGTAATAAAAATCAACCCTCACAAAAAAATTTTTGAGAAAAAAGCAAAATCTTGACAAATTTTTCTTGTTAAGTTTCTCAAAAAGGTTAAGTAAAAATACATAATTTTGATTTCAAGTTATCATAAGCTTTTTTTGCTAGACAACACACATATTTCACCCTCAAAAAATTTTTTTTCAATATATTTAATAAATAATTACCCATAACCTAATCCGGCAATAGGGCCTCCTATACCGGTTTGCATTCCCGTTTTTGAAACACCAGCTAAAATATTTTCATTATAATAGTTTGGATCATCATCGTCAAATTGAGGCACAGTGGTATAGGAATATTCAAAGATATTAGGTAAATCTTTAGGATCAATACCACCTCCTTGATCTCTAACTCTTATGCCAATATAATTTTTGCCGTGTGATATTGTGATTTCTATTGGTGGATGTTCATCACGTTTAATTTTTTGGCTGAATTCTACAGTTGCACGATAAGAATTTTTTAGAATTTCTGATATGATGTATTCCAGGTGAACCGGAACATAAGTAAACATTGTATCCGTTTGGCCATTAATAATGTAATCAGGTGATGAACCATAATGTATCTCACAAAGCTCTTTAACAAAATTTGAGCAAGTTTGAATAAGTTTATCTGGTTTAAGCTTGGTGTTAATTACTCCTATATAATTTGGATCATCTGAATTATGTAATGCTATATGTTGTTCAGCTATTAAACGTATTCCTATACGAGCTCTTATCATATCATCAAGAAATACTTTAATATTTTCTGATGACATATACTTTTTACATTCTTGAAATCCTAATATATACATCCATAAATAAATAAATAATAATAATTACTTTTGAAAAAAAAAATATAAAAAAGAAAAATAAAGACCTTTTGACAATATTGGTATATTCTCTGAATGAGATCTAACTGTATCAGTCAATATTTCCGTAAACTCTATATCAGTTTTTTCATCAACAATTTCGGGAAAATTACTAATAGTTTTAAATGTTTCCAAATATAATTTATAAATACGTTTAATGTAAGGATTAGTTCCTACAATAAAAGGTAAATTTTGTAATGCTTTAACACGTCTTGCTAATCTAACTGGCAATCCCAATCTTGTATGTCTTGCTGATTCAAGTAAAGCAGAGGGGCTTAATGGTGGCTGACCAAATTTTACCAATTGTTTTAATGTTACTAGGCTTGTAGATTTTTGTGCATACTTGATAATTTAATTAAATTGTTAGTTTCTTGTCTTGTTCATGTTTTTGAGGATTATAGAACCTTACTTTTGTCACTTTATCATCATAAAATGATCCAACTTCTTGCATGTTGTGCCATCTTCACAATTGCATAAATATGTATTTTCCTTTGAGTGAAAAGTTACTATATACCAAATTTAAATGTAGACATTTATTTAACATCAAATATTTTCAATGTTACACCTAAATGCCTAACTAGACCATCCGCTCTGAACGGGCCGAGTTCAAGAGCCATAATAATAAGGTCTTAACGTGTTGTAACGCATTACTCATGTGACACGATGTTAATATCAATTATTTTTTGAAATGTCGAATCAAAAATCATCAGAAATTTTTATTACCACTACTACTAACAAAGACAACAATAATGTGAACAGTAACAATGATAATTCTGCAACATTATCGTCATCCTTGACATCTGAACAAAAAAAAAGAATTGAAGAAAATCGACTAAAGGCATTATCAAAACTTCGTGAAAAACAACAACAACAAGGAACATTATCCAAATCAACAAATGATAACAACATCGACACCAACACCAACAACAATAATAATGGACCAAAAAAATTAGTTCCATTAAAGAAATTTCAAAATTATGCAGAATATGATTTTTCTAAAATGGTTGATACACGCGGTGGTTTTTTGGCTGAAGAGGATGATGATGAAAATAATTCCAAAAAAAAACGTAAAATAAAAGACCCTGAACCTGAATTAGATCCTTATTCAAGTGAGTCAACAATAAATATTTAATAGATTACATATCAATTATATGTAAATTGCATATTTGTATTATAATAAATCTTTAATATTTATATATATTAGTGTATGGACCAAACCCCGATGAAATACCACATTGTAAAGAATGTAGTTCAATTGAGGTAGATCTTGATTTCAACAAAGTTTTTAATGTGAACGTTTGTAAATCATGCAAAGATAAGTTTCCTGAAAAGTATAGTTTAATAACAAAAACTGAAGCAAAAGAGGTATATTGATTGCTTTTTATTAGTGTTTCAAAAATTTTTTTTTCCAACAATTTGAAATTAATTAATTAAAATTAATCAATTTAATTAGGACTATTTGTTAGTTGATGGTAATATATAAAATGTAAAAATAAATATTGGAGCAATATATATTTATTCATAAGTTTCAATTGATTTCTCACTTTCCCCACCGTCTTAATTAATTACTTTCATCATCATTATTGTTGGAAGCTGAATTAAGTGATCCAGATAACTTTAATTATATAACAAAACCAAATCCACATAAATCATCATGGAACAATATGATGTTATTTTTACGGGAACAGGTATATCGATACTTTCATTTTTTCCCTCCATCTCTATCTATTTTTATTAAGTTTAAAAGTATAACACTAAAAAGTTATGCAAAAAAATTTTTTTTAAAGGTTGAAGAATATGCATTCAAGAAATGGGGAGGAGCGGAAGGACTTGATAAAGAATTTGAAAAACGACAAGAAGAAAAGAAGAAAAAAAAAGATAAAAAATTTAAAACAAAACTTGCTGGTATTGCTATTATTTATACACCATCATTCTTACCATTATCACTGCTATTGTTGTTATATATTAATGTTAAAAGTCAAGATTAAACTAATTAAATTTTTTTTTATTACTATGTGAACTGAAAGATCTTCGAAAACGCACAAGAACAGACTCGTTAAATATTGGTAAGAATAAGCCACATAAACATGAATTTGGTCAAGCCGTCACTGATTCAAAAACTGGTAAAACAACACAATGTTGTAGTATATGTGGGATTGTGATTGAAGTTGATTTATTCTAACATGATTTTTGTGGAAAGAAAAGAAGATTTTAAATTTGTAAACTGACATTCGAGGTTCTTTCTTGAAAACTATAATTGTGAACCATAGATTTTGAACAAATAACATTTTAATCTTCAACAATATATATAAATATATTAAAAAAAATTTTTTAAACAAGATCAAATATATTAATTTATTTTGATGAAGTTAAAAAATAAATAAAATAAAATATTTTCGTAGTAAGGTACTTGATCAAGTGCATTTAAATTAAATTGTTGGGAATCTGTAAATAAAATTAATATTAATAATATTAAATTTTGGAATTTGTTAATTGCCATTATCATTATTACTAATAATTGTAATCTTATTAGAATTAACAGGTTGATCTGTATGTACAGTTGCTGTAATTATTGAAGGATCAAATTCGATCTTATCCATCACTTCAAAAATTTTTTAATTGATTCCATTTCATCTGTATAAATGAATATCATTTAATGAATAAAGCCAAGATCAATAACATCCTTAATTTTCTTCAGCAGATGGATGTTTATCTAGATCAACATCCATATATATATATATATATATATGCTAATTAATATATTTTTGGAGTTTTATTTGAGAATTCAGGTCTTACTCCTTCACAAATCTTCACTGAACATGTGTTGAATTACTGAATGGCTGTTGACCAGTTGACACTACTGACATCAATACTCCAAAATTGTATGTATCTGATGCCATTGTATCTGGTTTACCTCTTAAAACTTCTGTGGGGATACTTTAAATATATTGTACTGTAATTATTTTTTTATTATCTTTGCTACTGAGTAAAGAGTAGTTAATTTTTTTTGTTCCGATTGCGTCAGTTAAATAATTTTCTCTTGGATTTGCTATTGATTTGATGATGTTTGATTAGCTGGAATTGATAATTGCCACTATGAAGGTCATGATGAATATTTTTTTGTTCGTGAACATCTTTTAAATCAACAAAGAAATCTATCCAATGTTAAACCTTTAAAGTGATTTGATAAATAAGTTTGATCTTTCTAGATATCCCATTAAAATATATATTCTTTTGTAGAGTTGTTAATCCATAAGTTTTAATAATAAATGATTTAAAAAAAAAATCTTTTGAAGCATTTTGTTATCTTTTTTTTTATTATCTGTATATTAATTCGTACGAGTATTTTAATGAACAACTTTATTATTATTATTACTGCCAATTATAACCGAAATTAATAATAAATTCAGCACACAAGGATAATTTTAAAGAATATATAGCATTTTCAGATCTTCTATTGAATTTCGAAGCCATCAACAACTACAACAACAACTATAAAATGTTTTGGGAATTGACCAGAATGATAGAGATTAATCAATATCTTTCCGTTCAAAAAATTCAAGAAATAATTGTTGAATATACTGAAAATTTGATAAATAATCAGGAGAACAATTATAGTGTTGAAGGTATGGATAATTACGAAAGAGAATATGATAACGAAAACATGAAAAATATAACATTTATTAAATAATATATGAATTACAAATATTTTTAAAGTTACTATTACTATTACTATTACTATTATTACTATTACTATTATTACTATTACTATTGCTATTGCTATTGCTATTGCTATTGCTATTGCTATTGCTATTGCTATTACTACTATTATTACTATTACTATTATTATATTTGTCAAAAATATAATTAATGTAATTATTAATATCATCGTAATTCTCTTCTAAAGCATTACTCTTAAATTCGTAATCATCAAAATTATAAATTTCCCCGCCATAATCATCATTATAGTCGTCGTCGTCGTCGTCGTCTTCATCATCGTCATCTTCATCACCGTCAACATCATCATCATCATCATCATCATCATCATCATCATCATCATTATTTTTAAATTGTTTTTGTTCTTCACGGTGATGATTATAGTGAAGAAGATGGTGATAATGAATGATTCTTGGAGTTGTAGTGTTAGTATTCGGACGAATTCTATAATTAGCGTTAACATTGTTAGTAGATGACGTCCTTATAACTCGTTGTTGATAATTATCTTCGTAATTTTCGCCGTCGTCTTCACTTTCGCTTTCGCCGTCGTCAGTGTAACAATCGTCATTGTTATTATTGAGATCTTGTGGAATATGACTTATAACGACTAACGTATAAATCAAAGAATTATTGTTGTTGTTGTCATCGATAATGGAAGAATTCATTTTTTTAAAATTTTTTATACAAAGATTTGGATTTTTTAAAAAAAAAGTTTTTTATATATAGATTTGATTTTTTTTTTTTTAAGATTAGGTTTTTCAAGATTTAGTCGTTTTTTGAATGATTTCAATTGAATTCATCTTATCTTTTATATTATTTTTCATTTTCCAAATTTATCCAGAATGAAATACAATCTTTAAAACCCGAGGAAATTATCATGAATTTGATTGGCTGATTGAAAAAACTTTATTTTTTGACAAATTAAAAACCTAGAAAAATTATATTCGGGTTGAATTGTTTTTAATTGTTGACAAAAAGAGAATTTTTTTACTCTAGACTAGGCAAAAAAATAAACACGCAAGTATAATGAATGTGTTACTTTTGTACATGTACAATTTACTTTTTTTGTTAATTATGGCCAAAAATAATCAGAATAATTGCCTAAATTGTTTTTCGTGTTTATTAAATAAAATTTACAACAAGTCTTCTTTTGTAACAAAAATAAGTAGTATCATTACAATAAGAACAATAAATGTTATTATTAACTTCACAAAAAAAAAAAATATATATAATGAATGTGTTACTCTTGTATACGTAAAATTTACTCTTTTTGTTAATTATGGCCAAAACAACATTTCAATGAACGTTGTTACTATTGGCCAACGTGATTTACAAATACAATAAGTGACTACTGATACTTTTCTACGGTAAATTCAGGCTGGTCTCTATTTTTTTTAATAAAATATCTGTCTAATTTATAAGTTTCATACATCATTGCTGTCAGTTTCATTGCTATCACATGATTTGGTTTGTTATTTGCCATTTTTGCGTAATATTGGTCACTCCAAATACACATTGCTAAACATTCTCGTCTTTCATTCAGCTCTCCATACCAATACTATTTATTAAATAATGTAAATTTATTAATTCCCAAAAAAAATAAAAATAAAAGACCAAAGACAAAAAATATTATTATTGTTATTACCGCTAATAAACCGCCACTTTTTCTTGCTTCGTCTTGTGCGTTAGCATCCGCTTCGAATAATAATTTATTATCCGCGTCAGCTTTTCGAACAGATCGGAACACAACAACATACCAATTTATTTCAAATTGTCGTAATTCGTTTGCAATTTCGTTCCAATTAAACACTTTTTCAATTGGCATTTTTGCATATTCGAGCGTCATCATTTTTAAAATTTTTAATTTTTCCGTGAAAATTCGATCTAATTCTTCGTTCGCTGGTGGTTTTTGTAACTGTATTTGTGGTATGCTATGGTGTTGTTGGTGATTATAATGTTGTTGGTGGTGAGATATTTGTAATTGATGTGTTTGATGTGTTTGATGTGTTTGTGGTGGTGAATTTTGTAATATATTTGTTGTTGGTGATGGTGGTAGCGGTGATGGTGTTTTTAAAATTTTTTGCAACATTTTTATTATTTTAAAAATTTTATTAATTATCAAAAAAAATAAATTTCGAGAATTAGCCTTTGTATTTATGTGTTTGTTTATTATTTCGAAAATAAATTATGTCATTAACTACCAATTTTTAAACATTTTGAAACTAACCTATAACAAGCAAGAAAAAACAATAATCATTATTATTTAATCACGCAATATTTTTGAATATTTTGCAGACAAAAGAAGCAACCAATAATAATAAAATAATCATCAATTGCGCAATTAAATAATGTTCGTTTTAATTTTTTAAAGAACATAATAATAAAAATAATATTTATAATTTAATGAAAACAATACATAATAATTCGTATTTATGATGATTTGATTGATAAAATCTTAATGCATAATTCACAACAAAACGGATAATTAAATCATAGATTTTTAAAGAACATAATAAATAAAATAATATTTATAATTTAATGAAAATAATACATAATAGTTCGTAGTTATGATGAATTTCTCCTCCTAATTGATACTATTATAAATAACGATTGATAAAATCTTAATGCATAATTCACAACAAAACAATAATTAATTATAAATCATAACAATTAATAATAAGAATAATGATGATCCACACCACCGTCGCTACCACCACCACCACCACTTCATATAACCCCAATATTGTATAAAACGTAATTACCAGCATTAAGACTAGCCCAACCCATTGTCATAATTGATGCCCCCATCATAGTTGTAAAAATCAACACTGTAGCGATTGGTATGAAAACCATCAATCCAATTATAATAAAGAAGCCTTGACTTAAGAAAATTCCTACTCCTGCCAATGCAAAAACAAATCCCAACGTCAAAATAATCCATGTAAACAGGAGTGCCATTGGTAACGAATTGAATAAAAATAATGTGTAGATCAACCAACGTATCGGCGGAACATTTATCCATAAATATTTGATCGATTGATTGATTGGTTTCATTCTTCTGATAAATGATTCCTGTAAATTTTCTATGTAGTTTGTTCCTGTAAAAATCATCTCACTCGTCTTTGCATATAAACTTGTTGCCAAATATTTTATATAATCCATCACCACTTCATCCATTTTTTTTTTAATTTTAAAGGTTTTTAATTTTTTAGTATTTTGATTCCATATATTTATAAGGTTTTTTTATCAACGTAATAATTATCACTAATCCTTTATTATTATTATTATTCTTTGATGGTGATGCCTAACCTCATGAAATCATGTGATTAATGTCAAAAATATAAAAAATATTCTCATACATTACATCAAATGATTTATTTTTTGATTGTTGAAGATCATTAATTTATTAAAAAAATTTCCAACTTTATAAAATAAAAAAATGTTGATGGAAATTGATTCTTTATCAATTATTTTAATTTTATTAATTGTTTTAGTTGCTTTCATTTCAATTCGCAATACTCCAAGTCCCGATGTTCACCCTTTGCTATTAACTTCTCAATCGGATCCTGCACGAGTTCGTAACCCCGACGAAACCGTTATTTATCGTTCCAATAATTCTGCTCATGGAATGCCACTATTGTCTTTCCCTGACAAAAATATAAAAACTCTGGCTGATTTGTTTCTTCATGGTACTAGAATTGGTAAAGATTGTTTAGGTTTTAAAAATGGTGGCAATAACTATGATTGGGTATGTTTTATTTTATTTTGAGATTTTTGTATTTTGTTAAAATTGCTATTCATTATTGTAATTTATTATTACTATAATTATTATTAGCAAACATATCGTAAGTAATCACCGTATTTTGTTTTTTGTTTGATCTAAAAATTATTTTTGGTTTTGATTTTGATTTGATTTTTTCTCCCTCTTTAATATACACACACATTTTTTAGCACAAGTCGCAGCAAGAACTACAAACTTTGGATCTGGATTGATCAAACTTACAGGCTTAAAGCCGAAATCTTCTAATAATTTATTTGGAATTTTTATGAAGAATTGTGCTGGTAGTAAATTTTAACAAAAACAAAAGATTTATTTTAATAAAGGATAATATGTATGATTACATAAATACTAATTAATTAATCAATCTATGTAATTATGTAGAATGGATTGTTGCAGATTTAGGTAAAAATTTATAATAAATATTATGATAATTAAAAACTTTTACTAATACTCTTTTTTCTATATATGTATGTGTGTATATATTTATGTAGCTGCTAGTCGCTACAGCCTAATCACAGTGGCTTTACCATGTATTCCTCCCCGTCTAAATGACACTATAAAACAGATCAAATTGACAGAAATTAATGTTGTTATAGTGTCAAAAGATACACTCCCAATCATTTTCTCTGCTGCTCCTTCATGTCCAACTTTGAAATATGTGATATTGGCTGAATCAGGATCGGAAAAAACCACAATAACTCAACAACAATTGGAAACAGCAAAGACTTTGGAATTAAATTTGGTTACTTTTAATTTTGTTGAAGAAGAAGGATCTATTTCTAAGTTGGATCATGTGCTTCCAGGTAATTAATTAGGTGATGCTGTTGATTGGTGGTGATGGTGTTATAATTATTATATAAGATATATGTATTTTAACGTGTATGTTAAATTTATTTATATTAGATCCTGAAGATACTGCGACAATTGTTTTTACAAATGGAACAACATTCGGCGTATGTGTTTCTTTTTAATTATTACAGTCTATTACAAAACAAACAAATTACTTGTCTAATAGATATATTTCATTATTTGATTTTATTATTAGGAACCTAAAGGAGTTGAATTATCACACAAAGTAACTTTTATTATTATATATACACATATATTATTTACCATTAAATTTTTGTATTTACAAAAAAAATCTAAATTGATAATTAAATAACATTATTAGAACATCGTGGCTGACGTTGGTTAGTCTGTATTTAATATTTATATGAAAATTTTTGATATTCTTATTCATTCCCAATAATATTAATAATATAATTTATATATTTATAGCTGGTATTCTTGCTTCAATCCCATCTCAACAAAAACTTACTTCTGATGATAGACATTTATCACATTTACCATTAGGTAAAAAAAAAAACTTTTTATCTTTCATAATTATAATTTATAATTTTTTCCAATAACTAAATAATGTATATATTTATCATCTTTTATTTGTTAGCACATATGTTTGAAAGAATATCTGTTTTCTCATTTCTTTATTCTGGCGTATCAATTGCATTTTATAGTGGAGATATTAATCAATTGTTAAATAATATACAAGAAGTACAACCTACTATATTCACCAGGTAAATAAATAACAAAATCCATATTTCACTTTAGTTAAGATTAAGATTAATAATCTTACATCTTTATAATAAAAGCGCACCACGTTTTCTAACAGGATTTCAAGAATCAATATTACAAACGATGGGAGATCAATCACTGTTCAAAAAAGGATATGAATCTAAATTGTATTATTTAAAAAAAGGAATGCTTTTAACAAACTCAATATGGGATTATTTGGTATTTAATGGTAATGTTAAAGCAAAATTTGGTGGTAAACTTCGTGTTCTAGTTGTTGGAGCTGGTAAGCAATCACTCGATCAAATATATAGAAAATATATTTAATTAATTCCAAGTATTAATTAATATGATTTTGTTTTTAAAGAACCAATTTCACAATCTACACTTGATTTTCTTAGAATCACTGTTTCTTGTCAAGTAATCCAAGCTTACGGTTTAACACAATGTAGTGGTGCTGTCACAATAAATAGTTTTTATGATTATCAACCACCTGAAGAAAATGATGATTCGGACGTGTCACAATGTGGTGCACCTATTGCATGTAACGAAATCAAGTTGATAAGTTATGAAGAAAAAGGTTATAGTGTTGAAGATAAACCTAATCCAAGAGGAGAGGTATTCCACGATTATCATGTGTAGATAATAATAATGTTAGTATGTTATGATAATAATAATGATTTGTTGAATTATTGCTACTAGATTTGTGTTCGTGGACCAAATGTAATGAAAGGTTATTATAAAAGTCCAAACGAGACTTCTCAAACTATTGCATCGGACGGTTGGTTACGAACTGGCGATATTGGAATGATTTTACCAAATGGAACTTTGAAAATTATTGATCGTAAATTGGGTAAAAATAATTTTTTTTATTTATTTTTATGAAGTTTTTTTGATATACACATATTTATTTATATTTATAAAATTATATTACAGCCCGTTAAACGACAAAAATCTTATTGAAGAAGCTTTGATTCAAATTTAACTTTTTTAAAATTTTAATTATGAACATTTTTTTTAAAAATAATAGCTAAATTTTTTAATAATAATAATTTGCTATATAAAAATATTAAATATATTCAACAAACTTAACGCGAATATATATATATAGGGCATGAATATTACTATTACTGTATATCTAATATATGGAATAACAATTTTGAGTTAACGCCACCACTGTATACAATTCTCCATTTGGAATATTTTTGGATCAGAAATCATGCCCACTTTTGCATATTAAATTTTAGAGAAAATTTTATTTTTGATTATCATTATGGTTCCTTTCTATTGAGAAGCCTCCATACGGTTACGTCCCTTCCATAAGCTATCCAGAAAATTTTCAAAATATATATTGATATGATGGAAATATAAAAAAAAAACGGTGACTGAATAATAACATATTTGGTCCAAGTTGGAGAGATAATAAAATAAAATAAAATAAATGTATCATATACATTACACATTTCAATAAAACAACTTATGGGCCTTCATCAAACCCAAAGTCCATCTCTTTTGGAGAACGTCGAATGCGCGAAATTGAAGATACTAAATACTAAATATTCTTTTTCCCTTTTCGAGTAATTATTACTGCATACTATTAAATTAAATGTTCGAGTTTGGTTTGTGATTTATTTTTGATAAATAACTACTAATACGCGCAATTTTTCCTTAATGGAATTTCTACCGTTACTAGCCTAACCCTATAAATGCAGGATCCCGGATTCACTACAGGCGTATTTTCTCAAGCCTTTCAGCTTTCCTATGACTAATTATGTAAACATGTTGATAAACGCTTGGCATTACCACTTTTTAAAGAAATTCAATGCTTTAATCCAAAATTTTGTTAGGGCCTCATATATATCAAAGGAATTTATTTATAAGTCCAGATTATGGTATCTTGTACCACTTTTTGATGCAATGACTTTTTAATATGCCAACCAAGTTTAGATGTTGGAACCGAATTCGTAAGGAATAATATTTTCAAACTAAAACCGGAAATCGTTCCTTAATCATAGGCCTTAGGATATCGACTTGTTTGTTAGTTGGAATCTCAAGCACGATAATATTATTTACAGAAATACTTTCAGGAATGGCGGTATGAATCACAAGGAAATTGAGACAATAATATCGGCCATTTTGTTTTTCCTAAATATGGAGAACCATAGTGAGTAGAATTTCGTTTTCAAGGATAAAAAGAAACTTTGTAACATTTGCGTAGATATTATACATACCTTCAAAAAAAAAAATCGATAAGATTAAAAATGATTCCTCACAAATCCGGTTTATTTATAGTTTCATTTGTTAAACCTGCTAGAAGAAAAAAAATACATGATTAGTAATTACGTTATCTCAACCATTTTCCAGATGAGTCAGAGACTCTGCACTTTGTGCATCCTTTCTTCGTAAGGCAGGTCTATTAAGTCATGGGTGTCAAGAACTGAATATATTTCGTCATTTATGAGGGAAATTAAACCTTCCAGTCTGACGATCGCTTTTGTAGAATGAAAAATAAGACAAATTTTGGCGATCTCGGAGATGGCGGAGATTTCAAGTTCCATAACGTATGAATTTTGATATTATTTCTGATTAAATATAACGAACTCTCCTCATTCATATCCTTTTTAAGTTTCATTTGTATTATTTCTTATCAGAGAAAGCAAGAAAAAGGTTTTGTTGCTATAATAAATAGGTGAGAAAATAATCCTTGGTGGAACAAAAAATCATAAAATCTACGTGGTATTTCTTATTGTTATCTAATCGATCAAGATAATTAATATGTCGTGTGACATCATGAGGCTGTTTGTATAAACTATAAAAGGGTGAAAGAACAACTATTTCCTACTAAAAAAAATTTTTCTAATTTCAAACAAACAGTCATGTCCAATACTCCACTACCATCAGTTGAAGAAGTTAATAAATGGAAGCGAAACAATGTTACTAAATTCTTACAGGACAAAAAAGAAGAGTTGGA